GTCCGGGATCTCGTGCAGCCCTCGTGCTCCCCCCCCACGCGGGTTCCCTGCCCTGGCGGCTCCCCCCGTCCCTCCAAGCCGACGGATCCAGCTCCCAGCAGCGCAGTCCGTCCAAGACGCTGCTGCTCCCGAATCCGCGCGGCTGCCCCAGACCAAGAAGGCTTTAGTGGAGCCTGGTAACGGATTCATTTCCTTAGAGAAACACCTACAACAATAACCAAGTGTGCCTGTCCCCTTCCCAGCCTCTTCCAGGAGGCTGCCTGGTCACTGTGTCACTAGCTGGGCGCCGGGGGCGGCTGCAGGTGTTCTCTTCCCAGCAGGATTCCTGCGCTTTGGCAGAGGGTAGGAATTCCCAGGCTGACGCGTGGCGCCCGATTCGAAGGACAGGGCTGGTGAGCAGGAAGCGCTGGAGAGCAGCAATCAGCCCCGTCTGCCTCCCTGGTCACAGCGGAGGTGGAGGGATCCGCCGGGATTCCTCCTCGGGAAAGCCTGGCAGCTCCATGCAGGCTCCAGCACCACTCCCGGGAGACGGGAGGGACAAACTCCCACCTCGCCGCCCTTGACAGCGGTATGAGAACGGCTGTATCGGGGGTTCTGATGGGTTTTAGAGCAAGCAACACCCCAGAGGGAAAGAAGCAGCCTGTCCTGGTGCATGCTGCTGGCTGTCCTCAGATTGAGGATGCCACCGAGCTCGGCACGCCTGGGATGAATCCCGACACGGACGGGAGCACGGGCGGAGCGCAGGGATCCCCCCGCTTTGCTCCGAGCGCTGCGGCTGCCTGCGTGACCCCCCGGCACCGCTGCGGACCCGGCGCCGGTGCCGCGCGCTCCGGACGTTCCCGGCGGCAGGGCAGGCGCAGGGAAAGGGCAAAGCGCCGTGCCCGGGCGCGACACCCCCCGGCGCAGGAATAAACGTCCTTTTGCCAGGAAAGCTGCGAGCGGCTCAACCTTTGCAATGAGGAGCCCCCAAACGTCAGCCCCGCGTCCTGCGGCCGCCTCCTTCCCCCTCCGCGAAGCTGCCCCAAGGGGGTGGCAGCGCTCGGGGGGACACGGGGCTGCCCCGGCCCGGGGACGCTCCCTCGGCGCCCAGGCCACGCGCTTGACGGTGACAAACACGAGCTGCTCTTCCTCTTTGCACATCCTGGCACGTCGATGGGGAGACGCTATTGCAAAAGCGGGAAAGCACCGCGCTGGCGCAACACGGCAGGCGGGGGGAACCGGATCACAGGATCGCTGGGGTTGCAAAAGGCCTTTGAGACCGAGTCCAACCGTAAACCCGTCTCCACCGCGCTGCTAACCTGCGTCCCCAGGCTCCCCGCACACGTTTCCTGCGCGCTGCCAGCGCTGGTGACCCCAGCAGCTCCGGTGCAGCCCGCTCCAATGTTCGGCTGCTCCTCCTGTGCAGGAATCTCTGCTAGTACCAAACCTAGAGAGAAGTCAGTGCCGAGAGGGAGCCTGGGGACTGTGTCCTCGTGAGGCCGGGGACACTGGCACAACAGGGGCTCTCCTGGGGAAGAGGGTGACAAGCTGCAGACCCAGGTCCTGCCTCACCACCCGTCCCCGTGGGTTACCTGCCTTTCCCACCAGGAACAGCGCGGGAAATCCCAGAGCAAAGCACAACCGTGCAGAGATCCGTAGGGAGCAACCCTCGGCTCTCCAGACACGGCCAAGGCTTTGCTCCCTGCAGGGCAAGGCCCTGCCAGCGCCACCCGGAGCAGCAGCGCCCGGGGGACCCGAGGACCTGAGCGAGGAGCCGGAAAGCCCTGGATCATTTCCTTGATCCCACAGTTTTCTCCAGGACCTTTGACAAGTCCCAGAGCTCCTGGACGCCGGCGGCAGCGCGGCCAGCGCCGTCCCCGCTCCCGCC